CCATTACCTTGTGAAACTGAATTAATGCCTTCATTTCCACAACATCGGAATCAAAAATCAATTCCATCTAGTCAAAGTCGTCCAACAGTACCAGCTCGCTCATCTTCGTCATCAAATGAACCTAATTCTATTGTTAATGATAATCGTAAAAAACAAAATCAACCACCACTTCGTGTTGGTTGTACTGATGTAAAACGAATACGAAAATCTTAATAAAATATATCTGCAAATATCTCTAATTTTTTGTTTCTCTTTATTGTAAAAATTCCATCATTGTAGATGACAGCTCAGGGACAGAGAGGTCAATTTGCTAAATTATTTCGTGCAGCAGCATGTGCAAGTGTTGTTCTTGGTCCATATGTTTATACAATGGCTCAACCCGAGAAAACATTAAAATATCGATTTCAAAGAACAACAAATGAAAATGGAGAATTTATTAAAGTTGATTCATCATATAATCGACTTGCAACTGAAGTAAATAAATTTTCTTTCTTTTGTTATTTTATTGATTAATTATTTTAATCATAGGTTGCTTATCGAATGCGAATACCTGAACAAATGCGTCGTTCACCTAATTTTGATATTCGTTCCAGTGTACATAGAGGAATTGATTTTGATCTTAATGGTCATTTTACACCATTATTTAATAGTATTGTTTATTTAATGATTCCCGAATGGGCTAATATAACATCAATTGATGATTTAAAAAAAGTTAAAATAAATATTAGTGGTCAAGTCATTGATTTTTCCAATGTTGATCTATCAGGAATAGATCAGACGAAGTTAAATTTGAATTTAAATAAAAATGAAAAATTAAAAAATGAAATAAAAGAAACAGTTAAAACATCAAATGAATCAAAATCATGGTTTAATCGATGGTTTAGTAATACTCCAGCACCCAGCCCAGCACCACCATCATCTTTGCCTTCACCAACATCAAATATACCAATGACACGTAAAATATTCTTATGTTTTAAAAAATGAAGACGAACTGTTTGTATTTTATTTAGGCGACATGTTATTACTACAAAAATTAATTGAAACATTTTTTCTTTCTGATGATGCGAAAAAATATATGATTGCTGATCAATTTGAAATTGCATCTAGTGCATGGCATATGATTCCATGGATGGTTGTTGCTAGTTCATTTTTTCTACCATTTACACTCTATACACGTCTTCGTTTACAATTTCAAACACGTTTTAAACGTTTTCTTTTCTTTCATTTTCTTCTTTTAAATGGTCTTCTATGTTTTTATTTGTCACCATTTGTTGGTCGTCTTCTTAATATGCAAATTAGTCGTACACGAGATTCATCAACCACTGCCTATGGCTTAGATATGCTTGAAGGTGGAATTGAATTTCTGGAAAAACAACTTGAAAGAAATCGTATTTTACGTGAATTATTACCTAATGGAAAAGATCTTTTTGATCAAGATGGTGAACGAACTAAAACACGTGTTAGAATACCAAATAGTGGTGGTTTATCATTTCCAATATACCATTGGAATCCACTATTGGGCTATCGACTTAAACGATTACAAACTAAAATGGACCAATTAATGACTCTATCTGATGTTGAAGCACGAAAAACAATATTTAAACCAATGCCAGGCACAAACTTTGTGGATAGTCCTACGACTATAAGATAAAAATTGTTGTTTCAATATTTTCTTTTTTTTTCATTATGTGAAAAACAATAAATAAAGAGATTTCAAGCATCAAAAGAAAATGTGCGTTGTATATACCTTGTTGAAGAATGAAAAAAAAAAGCATAAACATCGATACACTCGCCGAAACGTGCAGTGACGCATCAGACGATTATTAAAAATAAGAAATAGATATTAATATACATATTTTGAGGAGAAAAAGAAAAAAATATTGCAGTAATAGACGTGGCTTGTATAGACGATCACATTAAATAAACGATCATAACTACGTACCAATTGACTTGATTTTTTTCAAAGTAAGTAGATATTTGTTTAATCATTTTTATAAAGCATATCACCAGTGAAATTCGGAATATGTAATGATCGTCATTAATTATTTCTATGAATCTGAGTACGTCGATTTTATCTATTTTACTCAATCAACTACAGTATTAGATATACGTATTAAATAAACGATGACTGGAAGGTGTAGACATGATATTTTGATAAACAAAAAAATTACTCTTTTGCTGACGTATAATATCTACCTGAATAACAACAGAAAATGCCCAGTCATCTTTCAATTTTTTAACACGAGTTTGAATTTCAAAAACCCCGAACCGTGCCTATCTTTGATGTGACTTGAGTACGAGACTAGACTTTTTATTGAGATTTTTATCAATTCTGTATGTTTTTCACTTCATTTAGATCTCGAAATACAAATTCCACACCAACTAATTAAGTCAAATTTTCACAATGACTCAACCAAATCAACAACTTCGAATAATTGCACAACCCAAGGCACTCTATCGTGAGCGATATGACAGCGAACAATATAGAACTGGTAATCCAGTTCAACGTTATCTTCGTGCTGAAGATAACCACCTGGATCTCAAATATCCAACTATAGAGGTGAAAAAATGTAACAAAAAATTGTTCGGAAGCGTTATTTAACTGTGACTTTTCTCATTCATATTTCGAAACAAATGTGTACTACTAAAACACAGAAAAATATTTTCTCGTTTTTTTTCTCAATTAGATATTAAGAGAATGGCGTGATGCTACTCAACCACAATACATTCGCGTAGCTTCTGTCACTGTGCCGAATGATAAGGAACCTATCGTGTGTGTGCATCCATATCCACTTGGTACCGATGATCCTAGCGTTAAGACAGATCCTACTAACAATGCCCTATACTTTCCGATAACAAACGCCGATTTTCAGAGCGGTCGAAAAAGGTACTAAAAAACGTCGCAAGTACTTTATTGTTTTGCTATTTTGATTTGTTCTTCAGTTTCCACCTTATGCGCAAAAAATTGCTACAAAGTGTACTCAAATCACACAACCATTTGCGCATTGTCGGCTCCGGTAAGAAAATAATAATAACAGTAACAAAACTATGTTTTCTTCTCATTTGAAAGATCAAAGACATATTCTCGGTATCGTGAATAAATGCCGCGGCAAACAACTAATTGAAACGTATAAATTATGGAAATCGCAACTTGTTTTTTCTCGAGTCGAATACATCGACAATGAAGAATTTAATCTACTCACTGGCTCTTCTGTATCATCTCAGGTGATATCCGATGGAACCAACCAGCAACATAGTAAATGTATAAAAAACGAAGATACTGCTGCTTCAGTCGTGACGGAAAGCGATCATGATGAAAAATGGGGCATGTGTGCACCAGAAAAGGGTAACTGGACAGGTGGCGATACGATTTTGATGGTACTTAATAAACTGGATCAAAGAAACCGTAATTTCTATTTTCATTTTTGTTTAATATTTCTTCTGTTTTTTGTTTTGAAGGATTTTCTATATATTTCGATTATGTGGAATTGAATCAGAAAAAGAATATTCAATACGAATTGGTTGATATGAAGACGATTGTCTTTCAGACACCAGCATGTCTGATAGACCCAAATGGGCAAGATCGAGCGGTTTTAATCGTTGTTGAACAGGATGAAAAAGTCATTGCAAAATTCAGTTTTCTCTATGTGACACGTAAGTGTACTACTTGTATTCAAACTAAACTCATTGTTCTTGTCTAGCAAACATCCTGCCGGCAATGAATAAGTGCTCGAGCTATCATTCACCGACGTTACCCGATTCCGTCTGTTTAACGAAGAGCAACAAACGTTTTCGTTCAAATTTCGATGATTTGCTCGCGGACTAGCTGTCTATTTCGAGTTATAATAGTATTCAAGAGACACTTTATTGTAATAAAATATATGTATTATTTTAACGAATGGATCAATCAAAAGTTTATAGACAAAATGTTCGTTCATTTTTGTTTGAGAGTAATGAAAGAATCTTTTAAAGAGCTAAAAAATAATGTGAACGGCGAACAAACAAGTTTCTATTGATCCATATGAACTTAACTACAAAGATGCCAAACCACCATGAGGTGTAAGGGTATGGTGTTGTTGATGAATTAGTCTAAAATGAAAACAGATTCAATCCGTTGCTCTTTACTCTTGCTTCTCGGCAATTGACTTTCATGTTCTTTGATTTTTAAATGTATTTGCTTTGTAAAATAAGAATTGGTAAGATAGGGTGTGGATGTGTGGGTATAGACGAACAACGCCAGCCCACACCAAGATCCTCACCGACACTCTCACTTACATCTCACCCTCACCCACAATCACATCCACCCTTTCAGTTAAAGCTTTCAATTCGTATGCGTTATCTTTTCTCTTTCGCTGAATAATTCGATTGTTATCTTTTCAAAATGACAACATTTTAGATTTTTTTTCTTCCACTTTCTATTCTTTTGATTTGTTCCAACTATGCGTTTATCATCGTCAGAGTAAGCATAAGCAAGACAACATATATACAGTGATGAAATAGTAAGCGCAAAAAGTTAAAATGGATGGTGGGTATACGTGCACTGAAAAAAGAAGATGCACTACCAAACTATTCTTGCAACGAAGTCGAAACCTCTAAAAAGGTTTCGTAGACACCCAGCATGCGCTCAAATGATTTTTCAATTAACCAGAAATCTTTTTGAAGGATTTCGTAGAAAACCTACGAAACTTAAAAAGGGTTTAAAATTCGTTAGGAATAGTGAAACCTTTTTAGGATTTTGTGAGACCTACGGAACCCTCATTTATATTTCTTCTCACGCTGTGAGTTTTTTTTGTTTTTACGAAACTGTTTGGTTTCGTAATGCACCTTTTTTTTCAGTGATAGGGTGTGAGCGAGTAGGGCGCCGTTGGTAGAATGTCAAAAGAGTTTTCGTCGAATGGATTGTTTGTCACAAGGTTTTTCGTCGAAAGATATTTTATCGAGAAACATTTCGTCGAAAGTTACTGAAGTAGTAACACTTAATATTTATTCTTCGATAGTCTATATATATAGACTATCGAAGAATAAATACAAAGTGTTACTACTCCAGTAACTTTCGACGAAATGTTTCTCGATAAAACATCTTTCGACGAAACATCTTCGACAAGCAGTCCATTCGACGAACAGCATATTCGTGAAAAAGTCATTCCATCAACGGCTACTTCCCCGTGTGGGTATGAATGACACATAGGACAACCAAATTCATCCTCACACCCACACCCACTTACACTTACACTCATATCCATACCTACACCAACATTTATACCTACACCCACCTATAACCACAGTCATACCCAAACCCACTTACACCCATACCCGCCATTATAATTAGGAAAGAAAGAAAAATAGATAAGACGACTGAATATTCCTAGCTGCCGCTTGGTAAAAACAGACAAAACTCTCTTATCTACTTTCAATTTACGTATAAAAAGAGATCCGCGTTTCTTGCACATATACCTTTTATAGTGGTAAATAGCAGTATACGAACAATAGATAAAATGCGACAAGATGATTTAAACGAAGAAAAATGTTCGAATTTTACAAATTGCATCTATATTATCTTATTTACCGGTGGGATTCTTGGCCTTACAATTTATGGTAGTATCCAAATTCGATACCAGTCTTCACTCAAAGAGACAAACTGTCGGGTGTTACATTCGAAATACGAGGAGGATATATGTAGATCACGTACTCGGATTTACACATGCTACGAACCACAGTGGGATGTTCGGTACAGAGTAAAAGGTAGTACTTCGGACGCAGAACATACCATTTGTGGTGAAAAAATTGATTATAAAAAAATGGCTGCGGGAGAGGATCCCTTGGCAAAACACAAGGTTTGGATTATATTTAATCTCTGTTTGCCGGCTGCACCAGTGTTATACGTAATTCTTGATTTCTCTAGGTCAACTCCAGTGATTCATGCTATTATAGTACAAGGGGTAATACGAAGGTCCAGTGGGAGTCACCAACTTTGAAGACGGGCCTGGGCTGTCTGATTCCAGGTGTGGGCCTCTTTCTGATTATAATAGTGTTCTTGTCTATTGCAGCTTACAGACGGTGCAAATCCAAGCAAATGAAGACAGAGAATAGGCAAAGTTCAAGAGACGTGCAGCAGATATTCGCGGTTGTAGTCAATCCACGCAGTAATGCTAGAATTGCCCGAGGTGGACGCTCTGCAGTCGCTTTTCCTGGATTAACGTGAATACCCGACGTATGCCATGATTTTCTAGAGCTCAAATATCTACTCCGCAACTGAAAATTTTACCGCTTCATAAAGTTTAATGTTTTACGTTTGTTTATTGTAACAAATTATTGTTATTCAAGAGTATATTTTGTAAAACTATGAACAATTTTTAGATACAGAAAGAGTACGTTAAAATATTTTAACAGTTCAAATGTGAAAGTATCACTCTCTGGTAGCTTTGAGATCTAACTATTATGACAAGAAAGTTTTGAAACTTCTCTATATGTGAACTGGGTCTGACTTTGGATGTGAATGAGAGGTAAATATGATACTCACATCCACACCCTGAAGATCTATCTACATACAAAATACCAGGTCAATGTTGTGTAATTCGACTTTCTAGGAAATACCATGTTTTAGGTCAAAAATTCAACAAATGGGTTGTAACTTTTGACTAGTAGATCAGAAGCACATATTTGTTTGGGTTTTGTAAGTCCCACCGAATCCTACTTATGGGTGAAAAGTCAGTTCAAAAGCACAGAATCAGTTGGAATACTTCTTCTGTGAGATTTTTTGGCATTCTTCAACACAATTAATCGATCAAAATTTTCGTACGGGATCTATTTACTATTTAGAACGTTATACATTTTGTATAGTGATATATAAAGAGTAATGTAGCAAATAGGGAAAAAACAGGGTATGACCACAGAAAATCCAGCAGTTCTAATAAGACGCCTGTTGGAGGTGGTATTCGAAAATAGAAAATCGCACAGCGATACATTAGTATGCCAAAATAAACTAGATAGATAGGCCAAGTTATTATACGTTTGTGACCGGCACTGAGATAGGCTAGCATACGCGGCGCATATTTTAGATATAGATAGATGAATACCAGTAAGAGAAGGACGTATCCGAATGGAAACCTGTAAGAATTAGTCAGAGCATGTATGTATCCATAAAAAAGCGTGAGTATTACTCCCACAAATAATTCGTAACCATTTTCTTTGTAGCGTTTATAAACATCAAGTTTCGGAGGCTCCTCTTCTAAATATTCATAACCGATTCCATGTAATGACGCCTTTTTATCGTAAACCACCGCGACTCGTTTATCTCCGCTGCAGTAATATGATCCAGCAATATTCTCGTAAATTGTACCGAGCTTGGCTTTGTCGTTGGATGTTACCGGATCAGTGGAGTTTAATATGATTGAGAGAGCGTCTTTGTACGCATTAATTGCCAGTTCGAAGTTAAATAACTCATGGTGCATATTCCCTATAGAATTATAAACCTCGACAATTGAAGCCCCATCGTCTCCATAACATCTGATGGCTTTCTCATAATTTTCGACCGAAGAAGAAATTTCTTCTTTCAGAATACAGAGTCTAGCAATTTCCACATAAGCCATTGCCATATCTGACATTAAATTTAACGAACTTTCGTTCTGAATAAATAAATAATAGTAACGTTCTGCCTTTTCAAATTCTTTTTTCTCACGTAAGTAATTTCCCATCTGAAGCAAAATTGGAATATCAGAATGCAACTGAGTTGTTTTTGAATTCTCTAATACTCTCAATTTAATATGCCATATATCGCTCAAGTTCTCAATCTGAACAACTTGAAAAGTTGTTCCTATCGAAAATAAAAATTCACATTCATGAGACATCGTACTAAATTCAGTGACGTCAGCATACGGTTTTGCATTCACGTTTG